AGTGCAAAATACAAAACACGTATACAATTGCTTTATATCATCGCAATATAATCAAGTGATTGATAGCCAGAGCACCGGCATTATAATGTATAGCTATAGTGATCACCAGTTCAGGCACACACTTCGCACTCGTATTCCCTGTCCTCTCAATACAAAAAACTTTACAAAAGAATTCATTCATTTCATAGCGTTTTAAATAACATCTATTTTCTCGTAGCAAAAGCTGTCCCTTAAAAAGATTAACTATTTTTTCATATAATATATAGAATTTCATAGAGAAGTAAACATTTCATCACTAATTCTCTTAAATGTAAGAATGAGTGGAAAATTCAAAGTAAAAAGAGTCGAAATTAGCGACAAATTGTTTGATTAGAAAATAAAATTCAGACAAAAGTAATAAGAAATTCAAAATGACTTTTTACACCTAAAATTATATATAAATAAATTATAGCACCCATTCATGCTTTTCAATACATTTATATATATTTTTCAAAAGAGTTTAACTGCTTTTCAAATATAATTTAATTTCAAAAATCTTTATATGTGTTGCCTTTCATTTAACTCTCATTTTTAACACTAAAAATCTAATAATAAAAAAAATAATAATATATTTTTGCTTATCGTCTAAAACTAAAAACTAAAAAATAAATTCATAAATTGCACGAAAAATTCTGTAAAACTTTTTTCACATCATAAAATGAAATAAGACTTGAAAAATTGCTTTCAAAAAATGAATCGAAGTAATACTAAAATATAATTAAATTATAAATTAAAAAACTTTTTTCTGTGGCACTGAGATACTCAATATTTATTAACTCTTTTTGTATAGGCTTTGTGTAAAGAGCGGTATTTTGAGTAATTTTTATATCAGTTTTTAGAAAAGTCATTTTAGAGTTTTTTGTATAGTTTTCTGAAGAGTATATAATTTTCATTCAATTTCCAAAAGACTCTCAAAAATCTCTAAAAATGTCGTTATATTAGAGAAAAAAACAAGAAATTTGTTATTATCTACACTTCCAAAGAGTTTTGTATATCAACTCAAAAGACTGTTTTTAGCTTTTATGTCGGTTTTTGATGAACAAATCACAGCAATAATAATAATAATGTAATAATTATTATAATATTTATAATAATAATAATAAAAATCAATTAATAATAATTTCTTATACATTAGAGCACTAGAAGACTGGATCGATTTGACCAAACAATTAATCAAAAGCATCGATGCGTATGACATGACGAGGGGAGAGGAGATTAGGGCACATGGATGGAGATGTGGATGTGGTGGTGTGTCTATGGGTCGGACTCGCCGGTCATGATCTGGTGGACCTGTTCCAGTTTCCACGACAACTTGTTTTTGCGCGAAAACTCGTCCTCTTCTAAGGTCTGCATTAACTGTTTTAATGGACAATACATTTGCAAACAAAAAGCATTAATATTTTGTGGCCGTAAATAGCGCTGCGATTTCAATGCACAGCAAAACAATTAAATGTAAAAATCATTTAATATGTGGGAAAAGGGAGACATAAAAACTGTGTGTTATACTAATCCTATGACTCGAATATGACATTCAAATTAGAAATTATTCGCTAATTATATGTAAATTGAAATACGGTTTTATGTTTCATGAAAATTATGTCTCATTTTTTAATGGACAGCACAAACAGAGCGCCAGTAGTTAATTACCTGATCGTTATATTTGACGGCATAGCTGTACAGCTCATGGAGCGCCACATTTGTGTTGTATTCGTGCGCGTGTTGCTAATGGACAGGTAGGACAGGGAGCAAAAATAAGCATTTGATTAATTAAACATTTGGTAAATTATATATAAAAACATCATTTGATAACAACATATGAATGAAAGGCAGTGATAAAGCAGTGGTACGTACTCTGGACTCCTCAGCGAGCATGGCATTCATGTCCTGATCACTGATGGCAGGCATGTGCTGAATGTCCAGATAGTATCTCTCGACCCAATCTTTATAAATAGGAATGTCTTTGGCATACAATAGTTTACTACTGGGAGAGTCTTTGCCCAATCGGTGGTCGGACGTGGAACAGGCGTCCATAAAAGTCTGGGCGACCACTGATAGGCAGGAGTCGACAATATTGGATTTGTTTATGTCGAACACAAAGTTGGGGTTTTTGATGAGATTCACCCAAAACCTGAGCGGCAAACTGTTCGACTTCCACGTGTGGACCACCTCCGAGTCGGTGATGCCGTGGTTGAGCGCCTGGTCGTCCAGGAAGTCGAACATGTATTTTATGGCCAGTGGCAGCGCTTGGCCGCGATGGGCGGTACTGAAGATTGTCTCGAAGAGGTCGTCCACGAACTTCTGAAGCGTGCCTTTCGTGGCCAACAGTCGCGTCAAATAGATCTCAGACACCATTTTGTTGCCCCGATCGCCGTCTTTGCTGTGGTCGTTGTCGTGATGTTTGACTAAATGCCAGTATTTATAGCCGTTCTCGAGGTCGTGGTTCAGTGGAGAGGTGGCCCGACTCATGGGCGGTGACGAGGCCTTATTGAAGCCGAAGTTCAGTGTCTCGTATTTGTGGGACTTCTCCATCTTCTCGGACAAGATCGAGATGTTATACATTGAGCTCTGTTTAGGCACTAGTGTTAGGGACGCGCCGTCCGAACACTTGTAATGAGCCAATGTATTCATGCGCTTCCACTCGCCCTCCTGTTTGGTGGTCTGGTCCTCGTCCGACAGTATCAGTCGACCGGACTGTCCGGTGCGCCACTCGAGATCCAGATCCTCTTTGAGTGGTCGCTGTGAGTATGAGATACTGCGGTAAATGGTGTCCAAAGACTTCTCTTTAATTTGACTTATGGTATCACAATCTAACACTTTGACGGGTGTCTCCATACTGTCCGCCTGTAAGAGTTGGTCCAAACCAGACATGTATGCCGTTTGCGGAGACATCGATACGTATACAGTGATCGTCTTGTACTCTATCTGTTGTCTAATCAGCTTCTCTTCGGAGAGCGAATACCGGGCCTCAGATGTGACACAATCGACGGGCCCTTTGTCTACCTGTTGTTTGATGGCCCGGTAGAGTAGGAATAGGGGATCGCCGGCGCATTCCTTCAGGAATTTGTACAATAAGAACGTAAACCAAGAACTCAACATCTTTTCGGCCACGGATTCCGTTCGCCTCAACAACAGCTTCGGGTGACTCTTGCCTTCAATGCACTTCTCAATCAAGTCGGCCAAAAGGGTCTTCAATATGTCGGTGCAGTACTCCATCTTTCCCTGAAGGGTGACCATTATAAGTGAGGCCACATTCACTCTGTCTCTCATCGAAAAATATCGGTTCGACTCCAGAGTTCGGATGAATAGCAGCAGAAATGTCTTATTCATCACTAATTGTCCGAAATATCGAAGTCCTTTCTCAATGAACAGTCTCTTTGACGGATCCATTTGCATATCTCTTAGCACTGGATGGTCTTCCGAGTTCGGGAACAATACTTTCATTGTATACATTCTGTAGTCGAGGAACGGTATGCCGCCAACAGTCAAATCACTGGTCAAGTCTGTCATTTCAGTCTGGAGTTCAGCGAACGCTTCTTTACACTCAGAGGCGACCCTCAGCTCCAGGACATCCATCTGTTCCTGCATTGTCTTCAACACACGACTGCTTTCAGAGGACTTTCGGCGGTAAAGGATTAGAATGAAGACCACAATGAAGAAGAGGATACAAATGCCGATCACAACCACAATTAGGAAGTGCTTGTGGAGGGGCTCTCCCGGGTGTGTGTTTTGTTCATAACTCAGTTTTCCGATCGTGAAGTTCAGTCGCCCTCCGATTCCAACGATTACTTCGGGTATGGATTCCGAGTCTTTGCCCGATTCGGGTGGAGTCGAAGGGGGACGACATGTGAGCTGCAGTCGCGACAGAGACGTCACATTACAAGTACTGGTGCCGATCCAGACGGTCACATCCGACTCTTGTGAGGCTCCGTCCAGATTCTTGCCATTAATTGTCAGATATTCGCTGCGATAGTATTTGACACTATTATCCTCATTGAATGGATGGTAGACTGGGTTGCGATACATTCGGAATTTGGCGAACGGGTTGAGCTTACGAGTGCTCAGACCCTTCACAGACTTCACGTCATCCATAATGAAGCCGAAGTCCAACTCAACGAACTCACGGTCGGCATCGAAGTCTAGTTTCTCAATCGGGACGTAAGGACTCTCGCACTTCATTTCGACGGCTGAAATAGTGGTGCAATTGCTGACGAATGGCTCGCCATCCACTTCCACATACATCTGCGGCTTCTGAATGATATTCAATTTATCGCCCTTCACTGATATAGTGATACCTCCGGCGGGAATACCCCGGGCTTCGCCTCTATTGCCTCCGGAGCCGGACTCGACGGTGTCAATGCGCGGGTCGTCGACGTACAGATAGTTGTAATAATCGAAAAACCGGAGCCCGTTATCAAACTTAACCCTCACTTTCTCCTCTCCGGGCATATGTCGAGCACTGGTAATACATTCGGCGAAATTCACTGTACGTCGGGTCACATTACACGGCAGACCACCCAAGAAGGCCTCGGCTTTAGAGCCGGCGTCCATATATAGGCCTTCGATGGAGAGTCGGGTGCCTCCAGATGTGGGCCCTTTGCTCGGAGATATGGTCAGTATCTTTGGGTTCAC